AATTTAAAATATTAGAAAAAATTTACAATTGAATCATTGTATTTATTTGTATAAAACTTATCAAGAGACGAAAGGTACGGCATAGGGAATGTAGTCATTGACCTTGCAATGACATTGTCTGGTGACAGATGGTGGCTACACTTGTGGTGAGCACAGCATAATGTATAGAGTTGTGGAATCCCTATGTCGTACACCTGAAACTAATGTAACAGTGTGTGTCAACTATACTTCAATAAAAGTAAAAATAAAGGCAGGCAATAAAAAAACCTTATTAGAAGAAATATGAACAGTGCTTGCCTTCTTATCATATATTCACAGCACACACAGGCACCTTTTTATGCCTTAACAAATTGTTATTCTACTTCCTAAATTAGGATTAGGTTTTAATTTTTTATCCTTTGTCCTTTCAACATTGTGAAATATTCTGTGGGTTCTTTTAATGTGATTTTTTTTTTTTGAACGAGCATCCCTTCTGGCATATCATCATCCTTTTTCTCACAACCATTTGTCTCATTTATGTCGATGAGTTTGCCTTCACTGACTTCCTCTGGCTGCTTATCTAGTCTGTCAAATGGTGGTGGAGTCAACATCCCATGGTAGCTACCTCTATAACTCCATTTGTTTTCAATTTGAACTTCACTCTAGCATTACCACGTTTGATTTTTTGTTGCACTTTCAACTTTCAGTTCCCTCTTGATAATCCATTTTTATAAAATGTCTCATGGTTTATCACTGGGAGATAAAAAAGTAACACAATCACACACTTTTTTCTGTTTGTGAATCAACTGCGTAACAGATGCACAGCCACAAATACTGTCAGACTTGAAAGAAAGGACATGTTTGGTCACTGATCATGATGTGCATGCATTATTTACCTAGTGTGGACTGGAGAACTAGCAGCAAAGTTCCTATTTTGTGCAATTACACAAAGTTGGTATCCCACCATCACCGTTGTTTTGAATTGCATTGTTCCGCGACTGGTACTATTTAATGAAAACGTGGTAACTGGAATTCATTCTCATGGAAACCTAAAGCAAAACTGCCTCTGTGTGTGTGCTTGTGTGAGCATGCACACGTTTGTGTGTGCAAATGTGTTTGTATTAAGAGAGGGGGAGAGAAGCAAAATGTAAACAATTGGTAATCTGTATTAATATGTTTATGGAACTTGCTCTTTTCTTAAAATTTCCCTGTAAGTCTCCAATTATATCATACTCTTTTCTTAAAATTTCCCTGTAAGTCTCAAATTATATCATAGTAAAAAGTTATGATAAAGAAGTAAACAAAGGATGTGAAATACTACTTTCCTTTTTAAGAACTTTGCTAATGTAATGGGATATTTCTCTCATTGCAATTAAAAGAATTTTTGATAGTCATCAATTGTATTGTCTTTTTGCTCCAAAATTGGTTTTTATCTCATTAAACAGTTACTGTACCTATTACAGATTAATTATGCAGATGAGTCTTCTTGAAAACAACACTTCTGCCCCTGAAGCACCACAATAAGTGTGATTTAACGATTGGGAATTCAGGTGTTGTCTGTATATCATAATACCATTATAGCATTTTTTTTTTAAGAGAGAGAGAAAGAGCACAAGTGTGGGTGGTGGCAGGGAATGGCCGAGTGAAAGGGAGGGAGAGAATCTTAAGCAGGCTCCATGCAATGCAGAGTCTGTGTGGGGTTCTATCTCACTACCCTGAGATCAGGACCTGAGCTAAAATCAAAAGTCCTACACTTAACCCACTAAGCCACTCAGGTGCCTCACTTTTATAGCATTTTAATGACATCTCTCTTGTCACTTGAATTAGTAACATTCTTAGGTAGGAAATTGCCTTTAAGACCCTCACAACTTGAAACAAAGAGCCTTTTCCAAAGATTCAACAAGTTATATCCCATATTTGCTGTGAAAGCTAAATATTATGTTGCTCAGAGATGTCTGATTTACTGATCTTGTTCTAGTTTCTCAGGACTGAATTCACAAATTTATTTGGCTCAAGTAGTGATAATTCAAATCATTGATATACATTAATTCTAAATTACCAGGTGACTGGTTTATCTTCATTGTGGATTATTTTATACTGACATATGAATGTATTATATCCTGAAGTTATTGTGCAAATAGCTATCCTTCATTAAAATATCAAAACTAAAATTTCCAGGAAGAGGTGAAAAGCACAGAAAGTTTAAGTTTTAGTAGAGATCCCAAATGCAATTAGAGATGTCATTTAAAAAATGCTAAAATAATAAATCAGTTGCTCAAAATATAACATGATCACTTAATGCTACTTTTCTACAAAGCAAAATAGATTAAATGTATAAAATGTTTTCCATTTTCTTAATATTTTCTAGGGAAGAAGAAAGAATTTTTGATATTCATCAATTGTATTGCCTTTTTGTTCCAAAATTTGTTTGTTCCAACTTTATTCCAAAGCTGCTTCTCAACTTGATCACATTTTCTATTTTTATTTTATTTATTTCTTTGATCCAGGTAACCAGCACTGGATCTGAGACATCTACCAGAATCATATTTTTATGAATAGATTTGTCGATAAGCATCATATAAATATTTGTCCATAGTGGTGTTAATTTTAACTAATAGTTTTTATTTCATCTTCTGCTTTATGTAATTGAAAGCTCTAAGCATTTTTGTACATAAAAAATTGGAATTGACTTGAACTTAGTACAAATTATAAACATCTCAATCATCTTATAAATATTTTAACTTGTCCAATTGCTCATCTAAATATATTTTTCCATTTTGTTTAGAAAATTGTGTTGTAATAAAAACAAAACCAAAAGAACATGTTTGTAGAAAGGGAACATATAGTCTTGTAACAACGTAGGAAGTGAGGTATATGCCATGGACACTGGTTTGCTAACCAGATTTCCAGCTGTGGAAATGGCTATATAGCTTGTAACTAAATATCCCTATACGGGAATCAGATGAAGGGAACTGTCTTGTCAATATTTTGGTACTCTGGGAGGAGAACTAGCATTCAGTGCCTGGTTGGAATGGGAGAACATTGAAAGGACTGAGCCACTTGCTTCTAATTTATATAGCTCTGGAAGGATCATCCCATCTCCAGGGCTCTAATAGGATTGTCTGAGGGCACAGTTGTGACTGCTCTGTAGTTTGATTTCCTCCTCACCCAATCCTGCTCCCTTCAAGGGTTGTTCTTCAGGACATGCCATAATTAAACTACCTAAACACAAATCTCATTCTCAGAATCTGTTTTTGAGTGACCCAACCCAAGGTGGATAAGGGTTAGATCCCTGAGAGACTAGTATAACTAGTATAACTAGTATAACTATGTTCTGGCATTCCTTAAAACTCCTTGATGTTTAAGGCTGGTGTCCAACATTCTATGCAATAAATATTGAGACTATGAGATACATCTGAGTGACATATCATAAAGATGGGAGAAGCTATGTTAAAGCAACGATCCATAAACTTTTTTTATCCAAATCACCTGGAGAGCTTGATCAACCTCAAGTTGTAGGAATTGAGTCCCAGAATTTCAGATTCAAATGACCTGTGGTGGGAGCCAAAATTTACATTTCTAACAAGTTCTCAGGTGATGTTAATGCTGACATTTTGGAGACCACACTTTGAAAAACACTTTAGAGAGACAACCATTAGTGGTTTATTAAGAGGAAAGCGGAATATAGGTTTGATATTTGCATGACAAATATTTACTTGCCAAACCTAAATACACTGGATGTGATAATGAGAGAGTCCTATCTGAATATAAACACAGCACCAATTTAACAAACTGTTGTGTTAAATTTGAATAGCAAACTCTAAACACAGATAAGGAAATTAAATGAAAAAAATGTGTCATAATGATATTTTAGATATTGAGTCACCATTAAACTGGAATAATATATCACAGAAGTAGGAAGAGTCCATTAAGAAGTACAAAGTCGAGACCAAAAGCATGCTGTAGCTCAGAAATATGTGAATAGCCTCCTGGCTCAAACTCTGACCTCGCTGACCTATGGATTTCTGTGTGTCTTGAGCCCTGCCTGCAGTGGACCAGAGAAGCAAGCAGAGGAGCATCCTGGGCATATTTACTCACAGCCTTGCAAAATGGCAGCCACACATCTGTCTGCTATATTTGACCATGCTGGCATCCATGAAAGGAACACAAAGGTGGAAAACATCCACTCTGCATTACAGAACTCAATAACCTTTGAGGACGTGGCCATAGACTTCACCCAGGAGGAATGAGCATTATTGAATTCATGTCAGAGAAAACTGTACAGAGATGTGATGCTGGAGAACTATAGAAACTTGGCATCTCTGGAAAAGCAGCTCAGGAAACCCACTCTGATCACCCAGATGGAACAGGAAGATGAAATGAAAACAGAGACAGGAAATCACCAAGATACCTGTTCAAATGGGATGATTCTCCTCAAAACAAAACAATCACAACATAAGCAAGGTATTTTGGAGAAAGAAGCACTCAGTGGCAAGAAGGAGCAAACTCATGGAGGAAGATCCATTGATCAGAATAAAATTGTCTTGAGCATAAAATCTAGCATCACTCAGAATCAGGGAATTCATCCTGGTGAGAATCCCCATCAGTGCCTTCATCTCGGGGAAAGCCCTCAGAGATTGTTTACACCTTAACCCACATGAGAACATTCTTTTGGGGGAAAAATCCAGTGACTGTAAAAATGATAAAAGTACCTTCATCAGGAGTTCTTTCTTAGCTGTGCATAAGAAGCAACACACAAGAGAGAAATCCCACAAATGCACCGACTCTAGGAAAGTCTCAAGTTCAATCTTACATATTAAGCATGAAAAAAACTTGCATTAGAGAGAAATATTTTCAATGTAGCCAGTATGGTAAAGTATTACAGAACCACTCATCCGTTGCATTGCACATGAGAGCCCACAGTGGAGAAAAACCTTTTAAATGTAACCAATGTGGGAAAGCCTACAGTTCAAGCTCTTATCTTACATGGCACAAGAGAATTCACACTGGGGAGAAGCCCTATGAATGCCGTGACTGTGGAAAAACTTGCAGAGATAGTTCACTTCTTAGACAACATGAAGGAATTCATTCAAGGGACAAACCTTGCAAATGTGATCAGTGCAGCAAAACCTTCAGTAGAAGCTCTAGGCTTACCATGAACAAGATAATACATAACAAAGAGAAGCCCTATGCCTGCAATGATTGTGGGAAAACCTTCAATATTCTTTCATACCTTACAAGAAGAGGGTCCACACTGGTGAGAAGTCCACTGAGTGTAGCCACTGTGGAAAAGCATTAAGTAGTCCATCAGCCCTGAAGACACACCTGCGGATACATACTAGAGAGAAACCTTACAAGTGTGATCAGTGTGGGAGGACTTTTAGAATGAGCTGTAATCTTAATGTGCACAAGAAAATGCATGCTGGAGAGAAACCATGTACTTGCAATGACTGTGGGAAAGCCTTCAGGGATCACTCGTGCCTTAAAGAATACGTGAGAATTCACACTGGAGAGAAACCCTTTGCATGTAATCAGTGTGGGAAAGCCTTCAGAATGAAATCTTTCCTCACTTTACATAAGAAAATTCACATGAAAATGAAACAATATGAGTGTAGGGAGTGTGGGAAAGCCTTCGGTGGTCTCTTATCTCATAGGAGATATATAAAAAAGCACACGAGGGGAAAAGAAACCCTTCAAGTGTAATGAGTGTGAAAAGGCTTTTAGGAGGCATGTGTCCCTTACAATACCCATAAGAACTCACACTGGAGAGAAACCCTATGAGTGTGATCAATGTGGGAAAACCTTCAGCGTAAGGTGTAATCTTAGTGTGCACAAGAGAGTCCATACTGGTGAAAAGCCCTATCAATGCAGTGTCTGTGGACATGCTTTCATAAGCTCTCCTCCCTTCAGCGGCATCATGAGAGCACTCATGCTGGATAAAACTCCTAGTAAATGTCCATGTGCAGTAGTTTTCAGTGAACTCTCAATCTTAAAGGCATACAAGCAAATGCTAACTGCAGAGGAGAACTGGATGTAAAGAATGGGAGAAAGTCTCTGAATAATAGATCTGTGGGAGAAATATAAGTTATGCAATGACTGTGATAAATCCTTTATTCATCCCCTAGATATGTGACCACTTGATGCCAAAAGTAAAAACTTTTAGTGTCTCCAAGACTTGTTACTTGAGAAAAATAAACACCTAATGTTTTAAGCCAAAAAAAAAAGAAAGAAATACAAAGTCAAACAAATGTTTAAATATAAAGGAATCAATAAATATTTAGACACTGGGTAATTAAAACATACATGAGACAAAGATGTAAGTACTCTTCTCCAAAATAAAAGAATACCTCAAATTTTTTCATTATGACATCTCAGTAGTACCTACTAAGTACCTAAAAACTGTAATAAACTAATATAAACTTTATAGATTTTAATTTGGTAAAATACCCCTGCACCATTCATCAAGTCACATACTAGGGTTATATACTATTATGAAAACGGGACACATTTAATGATAAATCAATAGGAAATCAACTAACTCATGGCAACAGCAAAATATTTATTGGACCGTATATAATATATATTAAAAAAGAATGATTGTAATTGATAAAATCTATTTATCTACCACCTATTACCTATCTACCTAAATTCCAGTGGTCAATATTCAACAACCATGCAGTGATAATAAAATGCTATGGGCAGAAAATATCCCACAATGTGCAAATCTATAGGATAAAATGCAAATTTTGTGAGGACTTTATTAATGGAAAATTTGAAACAATATGTTTCTTTTAGTTTCTAAAGGCAAGGACATGGAAGATGAAAACCATGAGGATGATACTGAAGTTTAAGATGGATATCTAATACAAAGATAAAGGAGGAAAAAATATAATATACAGAACTGTTTATTCTACGTTATAGCTATTTAGACATGCATATAGATGTCTATACACCTTTAGTATAGAATACAGTTATTTCTAGTAGTTTTATATCTATCTATATTTATGTGTTTGCCTTCAGTTTACTACCATATCAAATATAGAATAAAGTCTTCCTACACATTTGATTCAAAGCATCTTATCTAGCCTAACAAGCATTTGGAAACAAATCCACTGTATATGCCATTTTTAATATCATAAGAAAAATTTTATATCATATGAAATTGTTACAATTTAATAACATACCAACAAAATGTTAATACTCTGCTATCCAGACTATCTATCTATTTATCATCTATCTATCTATCATCTATCTAGACAAATCTCTAATAGATTCAATTTTACCAAAGCCATTGTAAAGAGTAACCACTGGAGATTTCCATAGAATCAAGTCACAGAGGAACTTTCTATGAAATCATAAAGTTCTCTTAAAGCCACATTTTTATCCAAGGTTGGGGTGGAGAAAAGGACAAAGGAACCATACTGAAATATATTTTCAGAAGAATCCCTCTATAAAGATTTATAATTTCTAACAGCAGATAGAGAAAAAGTTACTATGCTGCCAGGATACTTGATCAAAATTATCATGTGGAGATAGGGTTGCTGTCACATAAGAGTGGCCGATTTGGTTAACCAATGAAAGTCACGTTCATATTTTCTTCATGTAGAACCATTTATCATCACGTTCATATTTTCTTCATGTAGAACCATTTATTTTAAGAATTGGCGCCCAATATAACAGACAGCTGAAAGTAAGAAACTGGATTAAATGCTTCCACTACATCAAAGAACACCATTTGTGGGAAACTGGCCAAGAGTAATACCATCAATAAACCCTACCTCACAAAAAACATTATATTGATTCTTTTGAAATAAAACTTTCAAGAAAGAAAATATGAAAAACCATGCCATGAAATACCACAGAAAATTGTGTGATTCTTTGAAATACTGTAAAATATTAATAGGATAAGCTCTTGCAAAATGTATGGGGAGATGCCAAGAAGAGGTTTTGAAACATGATTAATGGGTTCATGTGTTATGAGAAAAGGTTTAACAAATCATAGTCGTTAGTTATCAATAAACATAATGTCAGACATTGACGTAGGTACCATGGATATATTGACAAATAAAACAGAGAAGTATGTTATCTTCACAGAACTCGCATCCTGGTGAAGAATACAATTGCACACAGGAGCAGACATACAAACACATAAATATGATTAATATTTGTAACTGTTTTGAAGAAGAAATTAATATAACCCAAACTCACAATCTCATTTAAAAACAAAATAAAAGCAAAAGAAAAAGCCATCTGCTATTATGAGACTATAAGCTTAAAATAAGCACTGTGATGTAGCTTATATTTAAAACATTGGGTGAATGACAACATTGAACACAAAAAGGAAAAATAAGGAAGAGTTATACAAAATATTTTTAAAATAATAACAAAAGAAATGTTGAAGAACAACAAATAACACCTATCAATCTGAGAGGGTTTATGAATTTGGAAGAAATAATTATATAGCAAAGCAGTGATGATATACTAATATATTCTAATAATATGGTAAGGTAAAGGTTTTTTTTTTTCAAACTATAGGAACAAAGAAAGCCCAGGTTCTCAAAGAGAAGCAATGAAAGAGCCCTTAAAAAATCCCATACAACCTCATAAAAGTTTTATAAGCAATTTCAAATTTTTACTATAGGTATGGATTTTCAAGAAGTATTACCAATATTTATTTTGGAAAAACAAATCTTTAAAAATGAAATAGAATCATAGTATTTTAGTAAAACTATCTGAAACTGTAAAAATATGGAAGTCTGTTAGTAAGAATATATCCCATTAGAACAGGAGAAATGATTAAAAATATGACAGGAAATCAAAAGAAAGATTGGAAAAGATATTCCAAAAACTATGGCAATTGTTTTGCCTACTCAGAAAGCTTTTAAATAAAGGCTGTATAGATTGTTTTAAAAATTTTATAGTGGTTGAGAATAGGTTTGGGGGGATGAGTGAAAGCCTAATTGGGGCTTCTTAATATTTTGTATTAAAGTAAAAGAGTAGGGGCACCTGGGTGGCTCAGTTGGTTGGGTGTCTGACTCTTGGTTTCCACAAGGGTTGTGATATCATGGGTGGTGGGATCAGCCAGGCATGGGGCTCCATTCTCAGCAGGGAATCTGCTTGAAAGATTCCCTCCCTCTGCCCCTCCTCCTCGCACATGTTCATTCTCTTTCTCTCTCTCTCTCTCTCTAATAAATAAATCTTTAAAAAGTAGGAGTATAAATTTAATTATGTATTTAGTTTTTTCTCTAGTAATAGAGATTGCATTTAACAATATATATGACAATTAAATTGTGAAGAAATACTGTTATGTAAAGAAAAATTTGAAATAGTAATGCTAATTCTATTATTTAAAAATTATATTCAAGCTTGTGCAAAAAATTAATATATGTTGCATGTATTTGAACTCAGGCACACAAATGTTTGATTAAACTTGATTTAAATTATTCCTTTCTTAATAAGGCATTTTTTAATGAATATTCTACACTCAAGTTTCAAATTAAATTTCCCCCTATTGTTCGCTTTTGTACTGTTAGAAACATTTGCAAATCATTTTGATCTCTCTGTGAAGTCAGAAAATTCTTATACTAAACCTAAGGGTCTAGAATATTCACAAAATAATTTGTTTCTATACTAAGTTATGTTATGTATTATGTTATGGTTATGTTATCTTGATGACTTTCTCTAGGGAATTTGTATATTTTATCATGTTTCTACCAGTTGGAATTTAGCAATGAATTATTTTACTTCAATAAGGACGATTAAAATCTAAAGTATGTTGTTAGTGACATTTTGTCTCTGTAATTAAAATTCTAGAAATCATTTTTATATTGACAACTTTAGTGTGAAAAGTTTAAGCAAAATTCTAACTCCTTTTGTGAGGAGAAAACCTGCAGAATTTTCCTTTGAAAGATGTTTATTTCTTACATAGCACAGATTAAACTAGCTGTCCTTTGTGGTGGTGGAGTTGGGGCAGACAGACAGAAGGTGCATTTACATGTAGAAAAAAGAGATGTTCAAAGAGCTCTATCCAATAGAGCAAGTAGTCTATGTCTGTGCATTAACAATCAAACTGTAATTGACAATTTGAAAACATGTTGGTAAAAATTTTATAAATGTTTTCTGGATCCACTGTTCTTATGTGTCATAAAGTCTATGCCAAGCATCAGAGGTGCCAATGTTTCTTCCAGATAGACAGTTGCTTCTTGTTTATTCTTACTGATATATAAAGGCTTAGACCACAAATATTCAGTTTATTCACCTATAAAGTTAATTTTGTCTCTGCAAATGAATTTGATTAGCTTAGAAAAATTATGGATATATCAAGATTAGCTCTTAGATGGAACTCTAATAATTTCTTATTAACACAACTAACTGATCATCTTAACAATGTGAGAAAAAGATCTGTATTTATTATTGATTTACTTTATACTTCCCTAGTTTAAACAAATTAAAAAATATATTATGTTTTAAAATTACTACAGCCAAAATATTAAACTGAAAATTCACAGAAAAATCACAGTTTTATATAATATTTCATCTTATTAAAGTGAATTGGCTCTATCACTTACATGTAATGTTTATTATCAAAGCAAGTATTTTAGTTTTATCTATTTATTGACTTCTTTTTTATTTTCTATTTTATTATGGTATACCATTGGATATTCTTCTCTCATACCATGATGACTAAGAATTTAGTTATGTACTTAAAAATTTTACATATTTAAAAATATGGCTATAATTTTAAGTTTAAAGCAATCTACATGAAAATGAAAGGCAATCTGAGTATTTTCATTGTATAAAAGAAAATCATTATTCAAGGGTTTGATTATATTATCCATGCATTTATTTTTTTAACATAATAGCTCCATATAACAATGATAAAAGTTTGCCAAGTAATCCAAATATTCCAAATGGAGTGATAGAGAATAAGATATATAATGTAGATATTAACCAGTCTTCCATATTACTACATTTGTTAATTAGCATTAATCATCTGAAAAAATGTATTCTATTACATTATATATTTTAATGTTATGA